TCAWCRWYGYTKCTYSTYGATYTGGATGGCTTTRTCGCATKATAACAGCATTGTAGGTCTAAGGGGAATGCATTTCTCAGTTAGTGTTGCTTAAAATGTGAARTCSTGTRCCCCCTCCCTTCTTCGATCAMCGTTATTTCTTTCCTTAGACGGTTTTGTCGTATGMCAACATTCTTTTTGACAACATCGCATTGCAGGGCTAAGGGGATGCATCTTTCCCTWCCCTTAGTGTTGCTTAGAACGGGAAATCAAAATGACATATTCCAAGCATTTTGCCAACAGTAATAATTGTAGATTTTAGCATTAAAGTAATTAATGCMCTTTTGACAACCATCTTTTTAATAGGTATGGCCTGGGGAAACCAAAGGACCRGGAGCGCGACCTCCAGCATCTTCTCAAATGGTCATTCCACCCGCACTTGTAAGTATAACTCGTTAAAGGGACACTGTCACTCAATGGATGACATGCGCGGTAACAGTTCTCACTTCTAACGAACTTTGAAAGTATTACCTTCGAGGTAAATCATTTGTGGTGCTTTTGAAGACACTTTGGAATATTCTARATTTGTTTACGTTTACGAGCTGATTTATGTCGCGCCAACTTGGAGTCATAAACTTGAAAACACTAGCCTAATGTTTTCAAGTTTACTCGCGCATGCGTGCCACTGAYAGTATCCCTTTAATGAAGAGAGAAAAAGATAAAGATAGACTCGTATTATAAAGCACAGAAGAACTCTTTGGCTTCTACTTGATGTTTTCTTATTTTCAGCCTGGTGATCAAGGCCCACGCGGTCGTCGTGGCCCGAACGGGTCCCCGGTAAGTAATCTAGGCGCGCATCCAATGGCAAATTAGAGTGGTTTTCCGTCAACCATGAAAGCACAATAAGTCTAATAGTTAGTAGTAGTTTGTAATAGACCAATACTAATAGTCTAGCTTGTATCCGATTGATATAGGTATAAACATATTCATCGCAAAAACAAGTTTTTTTTATTTTAATGGTCGTTTTTGATATGGTAAATAATTAAACTAAACGTTTAATTTGTTCGTCTATATATGTTCGTTTATATGTCTAAAAGTTATATTGACTAGTCTAGTACTTATTGCTACTAACTAGTTGGTCTATTTCTTTTCATGGTTGACGGAAAACCACTCTATGGGTCAAGAAATAGAAACTAATTTGTTAGACCATGGCTACTAACAAACGAGTTTATGTTGTCAATAAATAATTATTAATTACTAATTATTAATTACATGGGTTTGTGTTTTGTRTTATRCAGGGCCAGCCGGGAGGTCCTGGAGAGAAGGGTTCTCAGGGTGACCCTGGTGTGATGGTATGTATCAAATGAAGTGATCCAAGATCTACYTATTTTTCCCTATTTACTAGTCCTAACCAGGCAGATARATCAAATAGATGACGAACACTTGACAACGGTTTATATTATACAGATGGACAGACAAACATTAATAAAGACTGACAGAGTCACTGAGTCAATAAGGAACTGTGTAATATTTTTAAGGAGGGGTGTTGGGAATTAATAGGGGGGAATCTAATTTTACGTGCGTGAAGTGGGGGGACGTCTAAAATTAACTAGAACTTTTATTGAAAACTGAAAAATCAACGATTTGCGTGACAATTCTTTATTCACGAATAACTCTTGATAAATATTGCGCAGTCCCTAATATGGTTGATATATATTTAGATGGAAAAATAGTCAGAGGGACGATATTGAAAAGCGCAAATTCCCTTAGCGTAAATTACAAGAGTTTGAATTMTTTCTAGGGACCACCAGGACCACTGGGCATGAGAGGAACAAGAGGACTTGCTGGAAAAAGGGTAAATATATCATTCATAAAAAAAATCTAGAGCGGATTTCGTATTAGTGGGAAACGGACGGTAATGTACTGTGACCGTAATCGTACTGTAACCAAATTCTAGTGCCCCATTGGTTCACATAAATCGTACAGGCCAGGTCCGGTAACTGTGCGGTAACCGTGCGGTGACGGTGTCCCACTCATACGAAATCCGCTCTATCAGAAGCCTGTAAGTTAACATGTTAATACATTAAAAGGACATGGTCCACCAGCATCCCTTTGGAGCTTTTTTTTTTTTAAAATAAAAATATGTCGTAATATAAGCAAAAACCTACTCTTTTTATTATCCTGTTTATACTATATGAATGGAGATACTGTAAGATTCGACCTTTAAACCGATGGATGGAAACGGATTGCGAATCGATATTCGAAGTCACCTTATTTTCCACATGAAAAATCTAAAACACGACCGCATTGAATGCTGGTGGACCATGTYCCTTTAATACTGACTACAAACACTGATATGTCCAAAAAAAATAAAGGCTGATTTATTACCTGATTTTGTTAGGGACCGCCCGGACCTGATGGACCAAGAGGACCACCTGGAGCCTTGGGACCAAAGGTGAGTCATTTCAAAAAGTGAGCGCATCTCAAAAACGTAAAGAGGTGCTAAAGCATAGAATGTGTGAACTGAATTGTTTGACTGTTCTAGGGTGATAGAGGCTTAGACGGTATTCCTGGTCTTCCTGGTCATAAAGGTCCACGGGTAAGAGTTACTTTGTTTAAAGCTTTTTGTTATTGCTACATTTTTATTTAAAAAAAAAATACCACCCCACACTCATCATTCCATTTATTCTTTCATTATTTCATTCAACTCCTTTTATTTCTTTCATTTGTTTATTTGTTGACGTCTTTTCCCTTTTAGGGTATCCTAGGGCCTCGTGGTGACTCTGGWGATAAGGGAGAACCTGGTGCTAGAGTAAGTACCAAGTACCATTGCACTAGAGCGTATTTCGTATGACTGTGCAAAAAACACGGTACTTTCGCGCTGTGACCTTACCGTGCCGTAGCGGTGATGTATTGTTAAATCTTTATTTTTACTTGGAATTCTAGAAGGCGAGGTTCCGTGACCGTACCGTGCCGTGCCCGTGTTGTGATACGTGCCGTTGCACAGTCATACGAAATACGCTCTATACGCTGATCTTTTAATGTGACCAGAATTTTAATGCAAAAATTGATCATTGCCTCATATCCGGATGTTGACGATGTTATCAACAGAGGTTCTGTAATCAACTTGTTTTGCGATTTCACAAATAGTCCGCACCATTCCCTTCCGTGTTGCCAAATCGGTGCGTTTGTACGTGCGTTTACGGCAATCTTTACGGTAGCTTATATGTCCTGCGTAACGAGAACTAATACGCAAATAAGTAATAAATACGCATAAAATATCGTCGAAGATTTACGTTGATAGATGGCTTACCAAATGTCATGAATACTGCCACAAACCACTACCGAAAACTAGTACGCAATATATACGCAAATGAACGTCGCCGAAAATTTCGCTCCGTAAATATCATAGATACGTAAATAAACGCAATTGATAGGTCTCGTAAATGATGTCAAAACGCAAATAAACTCAGCGGAAACGCAAATTCATGGATATGCGAAAAACGTTAGTCCCTGTGCGTTATCTTGTGAAATGCAGCAAGTTTGTGTATATTGTATAAAAGTATTAACGCATTATTGACATCATTTTCAGGGAGAAAGAGGAGAACCAGGAGGCTCTGGAGTACCAGGAGAAAGAGTAAGTTTACCAACAACTCTTAGAGTGTTGCGCTAATGCTAATTTACGTAAAACCCCTCTTGTGATGTAAAAAACCTAATATCTTGTACAAAAAAATCACGGACCTCAATATGAGGAATTGATGTTTGAATCATTTCGAAAGTGCAACTGCGGAAGAAACGTTTAATAATAAATGTAACGTTTAGTTCATCAGCGTGATACTGGCTTTAGTCCAGTCCCAGCCCCTTTTCGACCCGCTCGAGAGGTTAACCGAGCGGGTCAAAAAGGGGCTGGGACTGGACTATACTGGCTTTTAATGAGCCCTTGCTTCTCTTCCTCCATTCCCCTCCTTTTACCTCCCCCTTCCATCCCCTCCCCTCCCGTCTCCTTCCCCTCCCCTCCCCAAAGAGGTGTTATTAGCACACAAAAAGTGGTTTCCAGCAAGAATGCGCTTCAATTTTACGTGTATAGATAACAGATACGTACAACAACTTTAAATTTTAGGTTAGTGGAAATGTTATGTCGTTTAAAGCTACGACCTCTTCAATAATGCTAAACGTTTGGTCTCAGAAAATTTTAGGAGGAAAGAAAATGAAACTACATTGCACTTTTTAGTGAAATTACAAATTTCTCATTGTAGATATAGTTTTTAAAAAATTATGTTATATATGGCTGGAATTGATTTTTTTTCCTTCATACCACAGGGACCCCAAGGCGAGGCAGGTCCTAAGGGACCACCTGGACCACGTGGTCTTTTGGTAAGAAAACAAGATTTATTCACGTAGGATATAAATTGGAAAAATTGCTTTTTGCGGGGGAGGGGTAGTTAGCAACWAAATGGTCACAATTATACGTAAACATTTTATATACTTTGTGCATATAGTTGCAAGAAAACTATCAATACTGAATATTGTATACTTGATAGTGTATTCCAAAATGCATTGTTGCTATGAAACTCCACGTTAGCTACGTTAGAAGATGACAATTCTAAACTTAATTGCTGTAAATTGAAGTTATTGACTACGCGGAGCTGGYATTGTCACTCTGAAACCAGAAAAACCTAATTTAACGACGATAGAGCGTCCAACAATGCATCTCAGTCTTTTCATAAATTACTCCTTCAGTATTCAGTACTTTTTGAAAAAGCTGTATAAAAAGTATCATATTTCTAATAACGTATATTATGGCTTATTCTGTTATTAATTGTGTGCAATTTCAGGGTTCTCCAGGTGAACGGGGACCACCAGGACCATCCGGTCCAACGGTAAGTTATATAGTCATAKCTCGTAAGAATGCAGMTCAGTCTGAGGAAAAATCACCAAACTTCTGCTCTCAAACTTTTGCTTTTTCGTAAATAGTGCTACAATGTATGCTGATGTCAAATGCAATCCTACAATACTATTTATCGTAGTATATAGTAGCCTCTTTCTTAAGGGCAAACGATAAGATCCATGCCTTTTTCAACCAGCTAAGAGGCGATGTTCGTGATTAATATAAACAGCATAGAAACAATCGATCGAGTGTCTGAATATCAACCTCTTATATTTTGTAATATAATTGTTCCTATCAGCTAATGGGAGCGTCTTATTTTGTGATGTAATCATGGCCATCAGCCAATCAGAGTTCACTATTTTGTGATGTAATCATGGCCACTAACCAAACAGAGCTCATTAATTTGTGATGTAATCATGTCCATCAGCCAATCAGAGCGCATTATTTTGTGATAAAATCATGGGCATCAGCCAATCAGAAGCGGTTTTATATTTCATTTTTTTAGGGTCCTGTTGGTGCTCCTGGTATTCAAGGTATTCAAGGCATGAGAGGACCACCGGTAAGTTTATGAAATATAGAATATACTTTTCCCGTCATTCAAACTCCTTGCGTAAGAAAATCTCTAAAAATAGTGGACAAGTGCTATAAAGCACTTGTCCACACAAATTTGAGTTCCGGCGGATCCGAGGCTAAACCTGTGCGCTCCTCGATTGATCTCTTGCTTGCGCAAATTCAGCTATACATTTTTCTTTTATTTGTTTCCCTTTTGCGTGCTTTCTAACGACGTTTTCTGCTAATAGGGTCCAACAGGTATTCCAGGTCCCGCCGGAGCCAGTGGACCAAAGGCAAGTATATTTTTGATAACAGATGTATTTAAAGAGGTCAGACATTTAAATCAAAGAGTTGCTAACGCGTAACAGGAGTGACATGATCACCTAGAAGAAATTATCCTTTCCGTATCAGCAACCTGCTGTAAGCCACTTCGACAAATGAGTATCATTAACCAATAACCTTGCATCCTTCATTCAAACTGCTCAGGATTTTTTTCGAATAAGCTAATCACCTTTCATATTGGTTCGATTGGATAATGGTATTGTCAGTCCTTTCACTGTCTAGATTTACGGTAAAGTGAAGCTCCGGTAGAAAATTTTCGTAACAGTTGACAAAATGATGATGAATTTGACTGATTATTTGACATTGCGTTACCTGTCACGACTAGACCGTGACACCCTTGTGACCAATAATCACTTACCAGCAATATGATGTTTCATTTAGGGTGAGCCTGGCAAGATCGGCATGCCTGGATTCCCTGGTTCGGATGGCCTACCAGTAAGTCTTTTCGTATCTCGGCTTCAGCCTCCTTCGTAGTCATCATTGTCTTCTCTAATTGTAGGGCTACCCTGGAATCGAAGGGCCACCTGGACCAAAAGGCAACCGAGTAAGTAACATATGACGTCACTCCTGATGACGTCATTCTTAGGAACATGACGTCCTGATGACGTCATTCTTAGGAACATGACGTCACATTTACATTTTTACTACATAAAGTGAAAAGAGATATTTGTGTCAGCTATACAATATGACTTGATTCACTTGTTATCCAATGTCTAATCATTGACCACCTTTTCATCCCCAGGGACCACCCGGACCAAGAGGACCACAGGGATACCAAGGACCTCCAGGACCAAAAGTAAGTTGTCAATCAGCATTAATAAGCGAAGTTTAGTTGACAAAATACAATTATACTTTCATGATTTCAGGGCAATCAAGGCAAACGTGGAACAACAGGGCCTAAGGGAGATGAGGTGAGGTGATCGACAGTTCAATCTGGATCGTATTTATATGTAATTTTATTTGCAAATTTGCAGTACAACAGGGAGGCGATGGATAAGGTTGCGTTCACATATTTCCTTATTTAAAACTGTCATCGTTTTCTTTGCAAAAAAAAAAAAAAAACAAAAACAAAACAAAAAGCAAAGATATAGTCGCCGTTTTTGGTGGTGCTGTGTAAACGATAGTTCTAAACGCATGAAAWATTTTTCGGAAATATGCGGATTCTTGTAAACTTTAGGCTAAAACCATATCCAATGGTAACTATGACAACAATTCTTATT